TAGTTTATAAAAGCAGAGTTCGGGCCATGAACCTATCGTCTAGGTTGACTATTCAAACAAGAATGAACACGTTCTAGAATTTTTCCCCACATTTGAGGATTTCGCCCCACTTAGGAGAGGAAATTAAGCGGGAGTTACATCAGTACCCCTATAAATATCAGAAACTCAATTGGAGTTAAAAGATCGGATTTTTCTTCATTCGATAAGGGGAATTCGTCATATCTTTCGAAGGGCTTTGTGCAGACTGGCTGGGCAGCAAAGTGGAAGAAGATTCGGAGCTTGGAAAGCCAGCACAGGAGCTTCTTCCTTTGGCTTATTTAAGTCCGAATTCTCGTTCAAATCAACTTCTTTTTCAAGAGTTAAAACTCGTTCAGAGTTATAACTCGGATCAGGTTCAAGAAACCTTACTCTGCAGTTCCTTCTAAACTCGTTCAGATTATCATAACTCGCGATCACGAGTCGTCAATAACTTGATTCTGCAATGTTCTCTAAACTCGTTCAGTATTCAACTCCATTAAGAAGTTATTTTCAAATTGACGCAACGTCTTCTCCACAGCGGTCAAATTCGTTGACGATGGCACGATGACATCTTCCACGTGAATCATAACAGGTTGGATCTCAACGAAGAAGCAACTCGACCAGACATTCGGACGGGAGGCATCTCATCGGCACCTTAAGAACCCAGAATTAAACAAAGCGGGAGATCGAATTCATTCTCTCTTTTTGTAATCGGAATCAAATTGTAATCTAGTGTTAGAGGAATACAAGTCAATTGTTCTTTATTGTCTTTATACTACAAATTCCAAAAACCATTCATGAATATATTAGGGTTGTGAGTAGTTGTAGCATCTTGATGTGAGTTTTATTGTTTTATATAATTAGAGAACAATTATTTTGTTACATTGTAGATATGTTAGGTTTCGCGTCGAGCTAGAAACCGAGTTGGTGTGAAAGTTTTCGGTGAACTAGAAACAACCGTTGTGAGGAGTTGACGTGATCGGTGAGCATTGATAAACCTTATACTGTGAGGTGTAAACGTTTGCGTGAACGTAGAAAAACCCGGTTGTTATGTGGAATTCTCCCCGGCAGGGGGGGCGCGAGACGGAGGACGAAAGCCGTCGAACTCCTGTGATCATATAGTGGTTTTGTGATTGCAATTGGCGTCTTATATTTTTTCATATTTTATTCCTTTGGTATTGCTTCATCTATTACCTATACTTGTGATAGATTGTTTATTTTACCTTGTGTTGTTTATATATCCTTGCTATATCATATTCTATCATATAGATATTATCTCTTTGTTTCATATTTATTATCCAGCTTCATCTAACATTGTGTATTCTAATTGTAGGTATAACTTGTTTAATAAGTTTAATGGCATGTTAATCGGATTAATTAGCTAGACAACTAATCACCCCCTCTAGGGGTAACATTGGTATCGAGCTTGGGCTCTTTGATTTAAGGTCTATCGCTTGATTAAAGATCAAGTTATCTTTGTGCTAATTTGTTTTAATTTTCATTTGTCTTGTTGACACAGTATATTTATCATGAACATGAATTGTGCACCTTTGTTAGGCTATGAATCCAATGTTGCTCCTAAATTCATTAACTTTCCCTATGCACAATGGGCTTCTAGATTTAAACTTTTTGTGCAATCTAAAAATATTGATCTATGGGGAATTATTGATAATGCTTATATTGTACCCACTATGGAGAAATCCAAGTGGAGTAAAAATGACAAAAGATTGTTTACCATGAACAAGATTGTGTTAGAATATATGCATAATGCACTTGATTCTTCTATTTCTAACAAGCTTGTTTCTTTTGATAGTGCTTACAAATTGTGGACATTCATAGAAGCACATCATGGTAACTTGGAGGAGATCCAAAGGATTCCGGCGGACTCTTCCTCAAGTAATATTGGAGCTTCATCATGCACACGGCCACTAGGCGATAGCCCTAGTGAGGTTTGCAAGTTCGAACCCGATAATGAATTATCTAGTGATGAACTTGTTTGTGCATCTAAGAAATTATTGCATGCCTACAACAAATTACATAAAGATTTTAATGATTTAAAATGCAAGCATGATAATTTAGAATCCGATCATGAGAAGCTAGTATCCAAGTTTGATATCATTGCTAAAGAAAATGAAAATCTTAAAGAAAACAATGATATGTTAAACTTGGAAAATGAAAAATTAACATCATCCATTTCTAGCTTAACTCATGAAAGAGATAATGCCATGTTAGAAGTAAAGAACATACAAAATGATACGGCTTCTTTTATAGATAACTATTTATGTTCTACTTCTAAAGGTGCATATGTGCCAAAAAATGAAGACTTGAATCTTATGAAAAAATACATTTCATACTTAGATTCAACTTTGAAAACATGCATCAATAATCATAAGAAGCTTATGGATATGTGTGCCAAGTCTAAATCATCATCTACTCATCATGCACACATATATAGCAAAGTTTATAAGTGTTCAATTTGCGGCCGTAAAGGCCATCTAGCTAAATTTTGCTATGATGCACAAAAACATAAGAATATTAATCTTTCTTGTGCATCTCATGTAGCTTCCTCATCACATACACATGCATATGCTTATCATGCACATCATAAACATGCAAATGTGTTTAAATGTGATATTTGTGGACGTTTTGGCCATTTGGCAAAATTTTGCTATGATTTGAAAAAGACTTCACCTTTGCCAAATGATTTTATTAAGCCACAAAAGTTTAAATGTGATGCTTGTGGTAGATTTGGCCATTTGGCGAAGTTTTGTTATGATTTGAATAAATATTCAAACTTGCCAAATTTCTCAAGTAAACCACCTTTGTTTAATAATGTTTCTCATTTGCAAAATAATTTTAAAAGAAAATCTTTATTTGCAAATGATTCCCGTGCACGAGCTAATGGTCCACAAAAACAAATGGATCTCTTTCATTGCACAAATTACAATCGGAAGGGTCATTTGAATGAATATTGTTTTGACCATGTTAGTGCACCATATGTGCCCAAGAGGGCTCAAAACCACGGGATCAAAATCAATTCACTATCATCTCCAAATTACAATCCTTTACACGGACAAAGACTGCTAAACTCTCTCTCTCTCACGATACCCTTGAACCATGTTACACGCTCTAAAACCTTGATTACAAGATTGTTGTCTCTCTCCTTCTCTCTATTTTAAACCCTAGAATATGAGGCCTTATTTAAAGACACCCCTGACTTGCCCGCCAAGTTAACTTGGCCTCTACGAAAACTACTATGATTGGGCCTAACCTTCAAATCCGCATCCGATTTGGAGTTTGAGTTAATACCCAACATATTAGATCTTAGTGGATTAGACTGGTCCTCCTTAATGGGCCTTACCTGCCCTAAGAAATTGGTATCAAAGCCAATGATATGATGCGTCTTTATTAAATGCCCAGTTTGTTTTGAGCTTTCTTCTACATTGATGTTTAGAGCTCCAGATGGAGCAAATATGACATTATACATTTTTCCTGTCCTTGGTTGTGCATTCATATTTGCGGAAGGTGTGGCTCTGTTCGATCATCTGTAACTGGTTGAGACTCTCTCTCTATTATCAACCTATTTTGAGCTCCAGCATGACGTGATTGTATCTGAGGCATCAATATGAGATTTGTACGGTGTCTCATAACCATTTGGTTCTAAGTGTGGATTTGGTTAGCAAAAGGAATAAATAGGATTTATTCCACAATGAAAAAAGAGCAAGTTGGATAGACAATTAAGTAACGCTTAGACACTTGAGTTATATATGATTAATTCTTTGGAGTTACTCGGGCTTAGGTAAATTAGCTTGATCCGTTTTCTTAATGGGCTTTTCCAATTCTAATGGAGAACCTGATCTGGCAAAAGAGAAGATAAAGAAAGGATAAGAAAAATAGTAAAAGAAAGAGGTAATTTGAAATTAGATGAGTTTTTCTTAGAGTAGAAAAGAACAGAAACAAATTAGGCCTAACCTTCAATATATTTATATTTCCAATATAGTCTACTAGCTAATGATCTAAGTACAATTACACTTAGAATTCAATCACATAAAAAATGAAGGGGAAAAAAAAGCATGGACAAATACTTACCTTGCCACATATCATCTTACAGAACAGTTATATAACTTTTGTGTCTTACTTTTTACTAGCATTATCACACATGCAAGAGGCACGAAACTTTTTTGATAAATTCCTATATCTTAAAATGCCTCAAATTTTGATTATTATTTTAATGTGATGATAGCTTAAATCTAAGGAAAGTATTTTTTAATCTTATATTAAAAGATAAGATTTTTAACATCTATTAATATTGTTTGTAAATGTTTTATTTCTTTTGTTGCAGAATAAAATGCATGTCCCTATTGCCAAAAAAATTATAATTTCAAAAAAAAAGTTATGCTTTTATATCCTTTAGCTTTTTTTAACTAAAAAGAAACTTATAATTTTAATTCGTATTCCTTTTAGAATCTAAAATATAATGGGTATGTAACAATACAGGCTTATATCTTATTTTCATGGAATATGGTATAGAACATTCTAGAAAACTAAAAAGAGAGAAAGAAAAGAAAGAAAAAATGTTTACATATATGATATATGGAACATTCTAGAAAATAAAAGAGAAAGGGGAAAAAAAAGAAATATGCATCTTGTTAAATGACATTTTTGCCATTCTAGGTATAGTAGAAAATGAGAGTATGTCATCACTCATCTAAATTTTGGTTTACCCTCACTTTGTTTTTTATACAGTAGTATAGATTCCCCGGCGTGTCCTAATTCCATTGGCTGATGCAATTAAATTTGTATTATTACGCATTCTTTGCTTGCAATAATAACAATTTTTAGGATGCAATTAACAAACAGCTAGCAACATCAATGTGTCCAAAACAGAATGCTTGAGAGCATCCACAAACCCCTTCATCAATACAAAACAAAATACACACCACAATCATAAGAGAAAACCAATGCATGTCCGCCTAAGAATCCTAACCTTGATCCTCTAAAATTCCTCCTCCTCATCCCTCCGAAACAAAACAAAACAAAAAAATATATATATACAAAAAACAAAAAACGAAAGAAAAAAGAGATCGAAAAAGGAATGTCTCCTCCCCTCCTCCCCTCCAATCTCGACCTCTCCAACTCGAAGCCCGACTGGCTCAACACCGGTGACAACGCCTGGCAACTGACCGCCGCGGCCCTGGTTGGCCTCCAAAGCGTACCGGGCCTCATCGTGCTATACGGATGCATGGTCAAAAAGAAATGGGCCGTGAACTCGGCCTTCATGGCCCTATACGCCTTCGCAGCCGTTCTCATCTGTTGGGTCCTCTGGGGCCACCAGATGTCCTTCGGGTCCACCAACATCCACGTGGTCTCCAGGCCGGGGGTCGCCCTCGGCCAGGATTTCCTACTGTCGGAGAGCGGCGAGGGGATGTTTGGTAATGCGACGTACGTATTTTTCCAGTTTGTGTTTGCGGCGATAACGGTGATACTGTTGGCCGGGTCCGTGCTGGGCAGGATGAACTTCTACGCGTGGATGGTGTTCGTGCCGGCGTGGGTGACCGCGTCGTACACCGTGGGGGCGTACGCGATATGGGGGGAGGATGGGTTCTTGAAGAGGCTGTGGGGTTGCTTGATTTTGCCGGGGGGTACGTCATTCATTTGTCGTCCGGGGTGGCGGGGTTTACCGCGGCGTACTGGGTAAGATTTTGGACGTGAATTTGGTATTTTTTTACACTCATCTCACCAATTTGGTATCTTTTCTAGCTTTGGCCATATGGTTTTTTTTTCAAGCCAAAGGTGCAGTTAGGCCCAAACTTTAATTTGTTGAAAAAAAAAAGTTGTGAAACATCATGATGCCATTAGTGCTATCTTATATTCATGAGAAAAGTGTTAGAACATTATTTGGGACATTGGTATAAGCATTATTTATGTAAGAATGTTGAGCCTACTACAAGGAAGCAAAAGTTGGGACAATAAAAGGAAAGGGCATGATATTACCCGGAAGTATAGTGAAGAAAAAGTTTGGGAGGGCAAAAATTGCTAGGAAAAAAAGATGTTATGCAACTTCGTTTTATAACATCGATGGCAAATTGTTGGTTCTGATGAACATTTGGCTTAGAAAAATACCAAAATGTCGCCGGGACTAGAAATAAAATATCAAACCGATAATAAGGGAGTACAAAAAATAGCAATATTGTAATTTAGCCTCATCATATCCAACTAGCTAGGCAGTGAAAACAACTAATTTGTAAATTTATATCGTGTAATTGAGCATCTTAATTCTTAACCTTCACCACATATATAGCATCTTAATGTAGATTTCAAATTCTTAATTTCCACATTTTTTTAATCTTAGGTGGGTCCCAGAATGGCGCAAGACCGGCAAAAATTCCCCCCGAACAACATAATCCACATGTTAGGCGGAGCGGGGTTCCTGTGGCTGGGCTGGTCGGGGTTCAACGGCGGCGCTGCTTGCTCAGCCAACCTGACGTCATCGCTGGCGGTGCTCAACACGCACCTCTGCACGGCGACGAGCTTGTTCGTGTGGCAATCGTTAGACATGATTGTTTATAAGAAGAGTTCAGTTATTGGTGCCGTTCAGGGGATGATCACTGGTTTGGTTTGCATTACCCCGGCGGCAGGTACTACTTACTAGAGCCCAAACTTATGTTAATTATGTATTAATTAAACCCTCAGATCTTCATATTTCTAAACTAGACCCCAAGAGATTTAGGGGTACTCTTATTTAAAATTAAGACTGCTTAATTGATTTAAGGTCCTATTTAAAATTACTTAACAGATTTGAGGGTCTAATTTAGAAATATGAAGATTTGGGTGGTCTAAATCAAATTAATAAATATTAGGTTCTCACATGACGGGAAAAAAAACCTCTTCTAAGTAGCTTTTTTGCATGTATGCCCTCCAAATTGACCACATTTACAATTGTACCCCAACTCTAGATATTTTATACTTGATGAGTTTCCCTCCTAATACTCCACATTCGTTTTGTCTACCCCTCAATTTTAAAATCACCAATATATTCCAGCTGGTTATGTTAATTAGTTTATACTTACATCCTAAGTTCTATTTTAAAAACAAGATACCAACCCCTGGGTAAAGACAAGGAAACGTCTAACTAGCTAGATAAGTTCTAACCCCCTATAACCTCATACCATAGGAGCCCTAAGTCTTAATATATATATCTAATTAAATTAATTAAGTTAACTAATTTACAATTGTAACCTAAGTTCTACACAAATTAATCCATTATTGTTACTAATTTGTTCAGTATAAACCTATAATCATATCTACACGAATCACCCAAAACCCTTGATCAATGCCAATCATGCATGTTAGCTGCAAAGTTCATCATTTCCTGGATCATTCGAATCCCCAGTCGTAAAACAAAAATATCAAACTAAAAAAGCCACATACAGCCCTAGAATCTCTAACTTTCTGATCCTATAAGCACAGGGATAGTAGAGCCATGGGCAGCAATGCTAATGGGCCTTGCATCCGGCTCCATGCCCTGGTACACGATGATGGTCCTCCACAAACGCCTCCCCTTCTTCCAACAAGTCGACGACACCCTCGGCGTCTTCCACACCCACGCCGTAGCAGGAACCATAGGTGGCCTCCTCGTCGGCCTCCTTGCCCACCCTTCCCTCGTCCGCCTCCTCTACCCCTATGACTCCCACCACCACCAGCACGGCCTAATTTACAGTCTTGGCGATCACCGTGACAGGTATTTCTTCTTATCCTCCACATCTAGGTGTTAGAAGTAATTTGTAATTCTCTAGAACACTCTACAATAATCTTGTAATATGCAAAGATTCTAGAAATAAGTAGGCCTAGAAATATGATGCAAATAAGATATATCTAGAAGAGTGGTGTATTATACAATACTCTAGAATGTTTCATATAAAATATCTATGCTCTAGATAGTTCTATATGTGCCTATAAATAGGCAATGGATGTAAGCATTGTAAACAAGCTTTGAAGCAATTCATACAAAGTTTCTTCAAGTTTTAGCCTCTTCTCATTTTCCCTCCTATTTCCTCCATTCTCAATCCATCCCACTTCCTCAACTCTAACAGGATTTTGAGCAGAATTGTTTCCAGATTCATTCTATTTTTACTGTTTGTTTTGCTAGTTTCTACGTTTTCAAAAAGTGGCTTGGAAAAGATTTGCTACGTAGCCAAAATGGGGAAGTTAATTTAGCTTAGAAGTAGGCTAGAAAGCTAAAACTTCAATAAAATAATGGGAGCGGGATTTCTCGATGTAATTTTTTTGGTTATATCGTACTAAAACCCAGTAAAATAATGGCCCCGTTAACTTTTTTTACTTTTACTTTTGGCTAAATGCACTTAAATATCCTAATGTATCATTATTTTTATACCTAAATATCCTAAGTTGTAAAAAGTAGCATAAAAATATTCCTACCTTTCGGTAAATAGATAATAAAATATTCCTAGGAATCTTCCCATGTGCATAGTACATAGAAATTTTATTATTGTATTGCCTCTTTTTTGGCTTTAATAACAATTTTAACTACCCCTTTAATTTATTACTAATATTTTAATGGAGGGTATTTTTGTCAAAACTAACGATGTTAGCTTAATTCTAACAGTGGACAAGTTGTGATATTTTTATGCTACATTTTACAACTCAGGATATTTAAGTGTAAAGATAGTAAAACATTAGGGTATTTAAGTGTCATTTAGCCTTTACTTTTCCATATTTTGAGCCAAATTATAGAAAGAGAGGAAAGGCATTTTCACCCCCATGTTTCCATGCGTAACAAACACACATAATACTTTTTCAAGAAACACCCCATATTTTCTATGTGTTTCAGTTTCACTTTTCATTTCCTATTTTTTCAGTAAACAAACTTTATATTCTTTATCTTTTTGCTCTAGTTAAGGAATGGCTAAATTTTTGGAAAACCCCTTAAGTTTTGAAGATAATCAAATAACCCCCAATAACTTTCAAAATATCAAAAAAGATAAAAAAAAACCTTTAAGTTTATGATTTATTAGAAAACTCTTTGACTTAGATTTTGTCAGACCCCTTACAATACTAATCACAATTTTCACAGTAGATATTTTTGCCAATGAAAGCTATGGTTCAGGCTTTTAGGAGACTTTTCTAAGGGGGAAAATTTTAAAGCTAAAGGGGATTTTTTTTTATAACCTCTAAACTTAAGGGGAGTTTTCTGATATATCGAAAGTTAAATGTTATCTCACAATCATCCAAAGTTAAGGGGTATTTTTAACATTTAGCCTTAATAAATTTCCTAGACATCTTGCCCTAATAACTAAAAAAAGTTACATTACATGTATTTTCACAGGGGGCTACGCCAGCTCGGCGTGCAGGTTCTTGGGGTGCTTTTTGTGGCTGTATGGAACGTGATAGTGACGAGTGTTATTTGCATTGGGATAGGGAGATTTATTAGGTTGAGGATGGAGGAGGAGAAACTGGAGATTGGGGATGATGCTGTTCATGGAGAGGAGGCGTATGCGATATGGGGGGATGGAGGGAATAGTAGTAAGTTTGTTAGGCGAAATATGACGCCAAGGCTACCAGCTTTTTTTGAGCGGTATAAGGGGTAATTTGTGATGTGTGAGAATGTTTTGGAGAGAATTTTTGGAATGACTTTTGTGTGCATTTGCAAATGTTTTTATGTGGATAAGTGATATTTGTTGGTATGTTAACAATAATTTTATGTGAATGAGCAATGTGGGTTGTTGTGTTGTATTTAGGCTGGGTTATTGGTTGAGAATTGTTGATTTGAACTCCAATTTTTTCTTGGATTTTAATTTAGGATCTTATTCATTTCAGACTAGAATTTGAATTTAAATTGTTATTGGTTTAGGACTAGGATTTGGATTTAAATTTTATATGTTAGGATTTAGATTTGAATTTAAGGTGTTATTGGTTGTCTAATATTGTTATTAGAACTAGGATTTTAAAAACCACACTCCATTACAAATATATAGTTTTTAATGAGAAATCTTTGAGAGATAGTACAAGTTAAAATAGGTGGATTGTGATCTTACTCTACAGATTTTCTCTCTCTCTCCTCTTCTCTTTAATTACTTAAATCTCAATATATTTCAAACTAAATATATTTAATTTTAAAATATTCCATATTTTTAATAAACTTATATATTAACATTGAATGTATTTAATTTTAAAATATTTGTAATCAACATCTACAAATTTATTTAATTCATTTAAAATAAAATATTTTAAATACTATTTAATCAGTTAATATATTTAATGTTAAATTAGATATGTTTATTGTTTAACATTTCTTAAATTATAAGTATTTTAAATAGTTAATATTATATTACATGCATTCCATATTTATTTAATGTCAAATACGAAATATATTAAATATGTAAATACTAAATACATTTAATATTTAAAATTTTAATATATAAAAAATAAAAAATTTCTAACGTGAAATCATGAAAATATTTGATGTCAAGTGTATGATATAAAAATTTTCTAACATATTTAATATTTGCATATTTAAATATATAAATTAGTTTATATATGATTGAACACTAGTTATTTTCTTTTATATACTTGACCACTATTTATTTTCACTTAGGTGCTTGAGCACTAGTTATTTTGTTGTATGTGCCATTATTTGAATTTTTAAATAGATTACAATGTATTTAGTTTTGTTGTTGCCAGTCGTTACTCAAAATGATGGTGGTTTTTTAAATTAATGTTCATTTTTTTAATAATTATTATTTAACAAAATAATTTGATTTGACACTTCTAATGCAAATAATCCATGAATCTAAAATTTATCTAAGAATCTGACCCTCAGTCTACGAATCCAAAGCAAAACTTCTAGAATCCAAACGAAAAGTTCAGTCATTTTCCTCAAAAAATTATAACCCAATCCAAGAGTCCAAGGCTCTAACCATAAAATCCAAGTCCATATCCCAATCCACAAATATCAGATTCATAGACAATTGTCCGAGTCTAACTTAATAATCCAGAACGAATAATTATCGTAATTCAATTTTTTATCACTAGAATGAATTCATGATAAAATGACTAACTTCTCTTGAAGTGTTGATGAACTCCTAATCTCGAGTAAGTATCCACTACACTAAATATACCATGTCATTCGTACATCCTTTCCATTCAATTTTGTCATTTAGAAATCCACGTGACTTTCTTCCTCTTCAGTTCTCTTCTCCGTTTTCCTTCAACTTGCGGCAAAACCTCTCCGCCGGCTGTCCATCCTCCAACATTCATCCCGACTTGCTGCGAGTCTTCGTTGATTATTGAGATTTCATGAGCGTGTAAGCTTGTCAATTTTCACTTATTTTCTCTCTCTCCTCTCGATCTTCTTTGGTCCAAACATGAAACCAAAAATAAAATGGAAACCCAACACCAGTATCTTTGCAATGGCCGACAATTTAGCAATATTCAAATGTCTGCAGTTAAAGCCCTCATCAACATGAGGTCAAGGGAGTTCTTCTGGGGATGTTTTACATAAACTAGAAAAAAAGATTAAGACATCGCCTAATTAGGTTTCTCTTTTAAAAACAAACGAACGAATTGCCTCTTTAGCTTTCATGGACCATTAGTATTTTCCCCAGTAGTAGAAAAACGAGCAATCTAGACGGACTTTTCTGTCTAGGTTGCTCCATTTCCCGTTTAGATAAATTCATCTTGACGGATTTTCGTCTAGGTTGCTCCGTCTAGTCTGATTCCGTCTATATTGCGGCAAACTAGACGAAAATCCGTCTAGGTTGACCAACCTAGACGGAGGGTAACCTAGATGGAATCAAAATAACCGTCTAGGTTGCAAACTAGACGGAACTCTGTCTATGTTGACAACCTAGACGGAGTTCTGTCTAGGTTGCAACCTAGACAGAATTCTGTCTAGGTTACTAACTAGACGGAACTCCGTCTAGTTTGTGAACATAGACGGAGTTTCGTCTAGGTTGGTATTATAGCAACCTAGACGGAATTTCGTATAGGTTGAGATATTCTAGACAAAATTTCCGTCTAGGTTGCTATTTTTTCAGTAAAAAAAAATTTACAATTATCAAATCCCTGTACATTCAATTACTATACACATGAATACATACAGCCAAATATAATCAAAATTCATAATAATTTCATCCATAACCAAATATAATCAGATCCAACCATCCAACCCATGCTCAGATCCAACCATCCAATGCAAAATATATATCCAACAATTCTGTCTAATATATACATCCAACAACATATATACTAGCAATACACATGAATAAGATAGAGTACATGACATGAATAAAAGTAGAGTGCTATAACAAATAAAACTGTTTAATACATTAAAAAAAATAAAAAAACCTCGAATATCATCGTCATCGGCAGCATCTCTATCCCTCGTACAAGCACGGGTACTGCTCTCTCCAATATCTCCAGTCTGATGGTCCAATTGAATAATAATTATGTGGTGTTTGATAACATATTAAAAAATGAATTTATAAATAAAAAGAAAAATAAGATACTTGAGCGCTGCTCTACCCAACACTGGAATTATCAATACCCGAGCTTATGAGCCGTATGATACCATCATACATGCTATAGGGAATCACACCGCTTAACATATCATACAACGTATGCTATGACATCGTCCATCGAGGTTACATTCAACGCAACTCTACTCATCTCATTAATGATTTGAATATGCAGCTCTGAGTCAATCTTGTCAAGCAAATACACAGAGATACGTAGGACAAATGACATAGCCTGAAAACTGCTTGGGGATGATCTCATTGTTGTAGATGGCGTGGAGGATGCTGTGGATGATCTCATGCTTATTCCAGGTGAAGCTCCAACACCATGCAAGGATATCTTTCTCTCCTATTATTAGGAAGAAATAAATATTAGATTTTGATCTCGAATTCAACAATATTAAACAAATATTAAATAGGAACGTAGTATTCCTTGTTCATTCGATTTTTTACCATCCTTACCTATTATGTCCCATCAGGTTCTGAGTGAGGGTGATGTTATCCTCTGCAGAAAGTATGTGAGGGTCCGGCTCGTCTTGTTCTTCCTCTTATGATATGTACACGGTTGCAGCCTCCTTGGTTGCAGTCTCAAAACTCTCCTAAAGTACAAATATATAGTTAATTCAAGGTAAAGATCATAATATTCGTGTTCTCATTTTCTCATAATATTAACAACGAAATAGAGTTAATAATACTAATCAAGTTATATATATAAGTCTTATCACCAACTCGAGATTTACCTTGATCTTATCCCGATTATTATCCTCACCCCTATATCGATCACGAAAACTACCATATGCCACTTTTGCCTTTAAGTGTATCAGTATTCTTGATTTTTCCTGTCATATTATAAATTTATGAGATTTTATAATTATACTAAGAATTAAGATCATTTAAAGATTTAAATGATATATACCATATCCCGACAATAAACATCCTCTAGGTTGGCATAGGAGTGTGCGCCCAAGTGGTTGTCATGCAGCTTCTTCCTTCTATTCTCTAACCCCTTCGTTGATTTATTGTTTTAAAATATATATTTCAGTAAATATACAATAAAATAATATCTTAAAAATATAAAGTAGTTTTCATGAAACTAACCTTAGCAGCAGCGCTGTCTTAATACACGAGGAGAGCCGTAAAATGAAGCTCGTCAACTCGGTCATCGAGGTTTAAAAACCTCTATCAGTCCTCCTTATACCTGTCATAGGTTTCGTGTTTGATCTCATGCCTCCATTATTTGAGGATTGTTTCAACCTTGGCATTAAACACATAATGCCAAGCCCCCTCAAAGTCCTCAAGGTAGTAGCTTTCCTATAGATTTGCATACACATTCAGTTAGGATAATTTAATACCAATTACTAATTATTAATAAATAAAAAGCTAAAGTAATATAAAGTTACCATAAGCTCATTCCATATCACCTCGTAGGCGGTCCATGGTAGTTCTCGGAAATGAAAATAAGGATTGATGATGTTCGCTCTATGCACAAGAACCCCAATATATGCATTCAATCTGGACGACCAAGAGCAAACGGGTAATGCATCACTATTCCACCGAATAATGACCCTTATGCCTCGTGGTAGTTGTTTAAACTCAGGCTTACCTCCGCCACATCATTCCTCTATGCGATCTGGCTTAGTACCTATAATAATAACAATATGATAATATATCATATAATATATAAATGTCAAAATTAAAAGTTTTTATAAAATTTACCATTCGCTATCTCCCTTTCTTTTGCTACTAGTGCAACAGCTTTCCTAGTCTCTAACATAGGTATTATTTCCTCCAATTTCCTCACAACATGTTGGTGGTACCTCCTTGATTTGGCCATGGACATATAAGAGTTCGGAGAGAAGGGTAAACTATGATAATCTTGTGTCTTCGGACGCAAGTCAGTCTGGAATGTATACGAAGGAAATGATGGTGTCCAAGTAGCACCTACATAAGAAAAGAGAATCATTAATGTAAATTTTAAATTGACCATAATCAAATATTAAATACTGAATACCGATGTTGGGGGATGGTTCTGGTGCTGCATGAGAGGGGCCGGGTGATGAATAACCCGCATCTGCAACAAATTAACACTATGAACTAGATAACTAATAATTTACAAAAGATATTAAAATATTAACTAATTTATACCTACATCCGAAGATGGAGATGTATCCTCAGTATCAGTACCGGGGATGATACTCCGTGATCGATCACCCTCCCTGC